ACTACCACTTCTGTGTGTGTGGAACCGTTTTTGTCATAGGCACTCTGTGTGCTGTGACTGTTGAGAGGAAGGATGGCTGTGTGGACAGAGCTCTATCCTGAGATGCAGGTTAAGGGGGTTTAACTCTTGGTTGTGCTATGGGGCAAAGTTACTTTACTCTGCCCGTGCTCAGTTCCCCATGTGTAAGACAGAGATGGCAATATTTTTCTCCTGCTTGTCTACTTAGGCTGTAGCTAGTCAGAGTTAGGACTGTCACTCTGTGTTTGTCCAGTGCATACCACAAAGGGACCTTCATCTCAGTAGGTGCCACTATAATAAATATAATAAAAGTGACTCATGTTATTATCTTTTATCTCTTTGTTGATCTCATCTTACCTGCTGGTTTCTTCTGTATTCCCTCATCTCTCCTTAAGCTGTGTGAACCTGAAAGCAGTAGCTAGAGCCTCACAAGGCACATAGAGAAACAAATCCCATTTGAAACAGTCAAAGTGATCCCTTCCTGAGTTATCTTGCTGCTCCAGCCACTCCATCTGGTTCCTGTGCATGGTGCCATGTCAGACACTGGCTGCTCAGCCTTGTAGATTCTAATCCTGATGATCCTAGCAAGGAAGCAGTGGCAGGCATGTAAATAGGCAAAGGGGAAATGGTTTGTTCCCTGGCATGTGTCTTTCATTGTTCCGGTAAAACTCCAATAGTCCGGCATCCAATAGTCCGGCATCAAAATGGCAAGAGCCTAGTGAGTGAGCTTTGGTAAAAAATGAGTCACAAGGTAACAGCAGCAGCAGCTGAACTGAGCAAAAAGGGTAAAAAAGGCTTAAAAAAACGAAAACATTACAGTATACTGTATACAGTATGTACAATAAAAAGGGTTAAGAACACTTTATATACAGTATATAATGTATACAGTATATATATAACCAGTTTATAGTACCTCCTGATAGTCTGGCATATTTGATAATCCAGCACCACCTAGGTCCCATAGGTTCCGGATTATCGGAAGTCTACTGTACTTTGCTGCAGCTGGGGAAAGTCCAGCGATCTTCAGTTTAAAAACAATTTGCCTTTGATGGGCACCCCCACCTCCGCACCATGTTTTATGAAATAGATGTATGAACGCAAATATGCCTAACTCAAAGATGCTTTGGACAAATTGCTTCATGTAACCTATCAATTTTCATGTCTTAATCCACTGGATCTGGAGATCTGATTTTGGTGTATGTATCATTCTTGTGTGTAAAATTAGAGAAATGGAGCATGGAATGCTTTATGGTTTTTAAATGTGTAAATGAAAGCCATCAAGAGTGTTTCCAACCTGGGATGCCTCAGTGGCTGGGCCAGAGGTCGGCAACCCCGGCAGGTGAGCCACAAGGGGCATGCAAATTGATTTTAACTGGCCTTGCAGGCTGGAGCACCAGCTTCAGTTTCCTGCTAGGAGGGAGGGTGGAAGAGGCATGCACGTGTGTCCCTGGCTCTCCTCCTGCTTTGGGAGGAGATGGGGCTGGGCCTGCTCCACAGAGCTGGGGCTGGGTGGCCGGTACACGTGGTACTCTGGGGCCCAGGCTGCACTGCACTGCTCCCCTGTGCCCACTGCACCCAGCCAGGATGGAGCCAGCCCCAGGCTCTGCCTGCCACAGCCCCAGAGCCACAGCCTACAGGGAAAGGGCTGGGCCAGGCAAGGAAGAGACTCTGTCCCCCTACCTCTCCTTACCCCAGTGCTGCTCCTGGGGGGCTGTGAGTCCCAGCACTGCTGCTCCGCCAGTGAGTATATTGAGAGCACAGGGATGTGGGGTCAGGAGGGGGTAAAGGAGGATGCGGGGGCAGGATGGAAGGGGACAGGGGTTGCACTGAGGGACATGGGGTGATGCAGGGGATCAGGCTTGGGGGGGATCATAGGGCTGAGGGGAGTGAGGCTGGAGCAGAGGGAAGACGTGCGGAGGATACAATTTTACTTTGCAGAAACTGCACTTTCCTTTATTCCCCACTTCTTTGCTTCTCTCCCCAACTAGCTATTTGGATGCATTCTCCCCCTCTCATCTTTTCTGTGTTACTCCCCCAAGTGTCTCCTGCCCCCAAACTCTCTCTCGTACCCCCACCCTGCTGCCAAACTCCTTTCCAGACCATGCTCTCCTCACCCCGTCCTGTCCAGATCTCACTTGCTGGCAGCCCTGTCCCACACACTGAACCCCTCATTTTTGTTCCAACCCCAGGGCCTAAGGGGATCCCCCAGTCCACTAACCCTGGAACCCCAGAAAAGTAAATCTGGCCTATGGGAAGCCCTGAATCTCAATCCTCCCTGCCCTTTCTCCCTCATCCCTTAGGGGATGGAGCACTGCAGGAGAGAGGTGTCTCAGTTGGGGGCCATATCAGTGAGGAGGGTTGGAGGTTTCAGGAGGAATTTTTTTGCTTCTCACTTATGTGGTCCCCAACTGATTTTTCTGTGGGTCAGTAACCCCCAACCCAAAAAAGGTTTCCCACCCCTGCCATAAATAAAGAAAACATTGAAACCTTTTGTGTTGGACATAATATTTTACTTTATTTAAATGAAGTTTGATAAACTATCATGAGAAAGTTAAAATGCTTGATCTGTTTATAATTTAATTGGTACCATTCTCCTCCGCTACAGCACTAGCAAAATGGCTGGGACGTAATTATGTAATTAACGGTGAGTTTCCATTAGCAGCTGGTGGTCCGTGCAAAGGTTTGCATTGAGTCCATGGGTCGTGCGGTGGAGAGAGCCCCTTTTCCCCTCCCTAGAAAGTGGCACAGCCCAGGACAGGAGGGTTAAATCATGGCACAGCACTTTGGAAAGGCCCTAAACTGCACTCTCCTTGGGCCTGAAGAGATTCAGTGTCTGTACTGCTTCTCAGGGGGCATTGATCTCAGCTTGGGGGTTTGGCTGGGGAGACCAGGGAGCTGGCCCAGCAGGATTGGGCAGTGAGGAGTCCTGGAGAGCAGGAAGGTGAGTGGCAGCAGCCTTGTCAGCCCTCTAAGAATACCCCCCAAGGGGTCTCCTGTGACAGCACCCCATCACAACGCCTATATCAGCATGTACAATAAAAGTGTAGGGGCACTTAATAATTCACTAGAGCTAGATTGTGGCAGGTCTCAGATCCTCCGAGTACAGGGGTGACTTTGCTGTGGCTCGCCCTTCCACAGGATATACAAGAGGACATGGGGGAGGCTATTTGCCCTCTATTTCCTCCATGCTTCTGTGCTATAAGCCAGTAAAATACGGATCTGGTGTTTGTAAGACTTTTTAATGTCCTTGGAGAGAACATGACATACATAAATACATTGGTACAAATTAATTTGCTAAGCTTTTATTGTTATTTGTAGTACTTTGAACTTCATATTTTATTATGGCAGGTGTCATAAGATGTCATTACTTTACAGTCACAGTCTTAAAAGTTATTTGTTACTGTGAGAGCATTTCCCCAAAGGCAGAACAATGCTGTTTTGTTAAAGTTTTGATTTGCTTTCTTTCTGGTGGAGGAGTTACAAACAGCAAGATCATTTGCTCTTCCATAACTTTATCTAACAAGAGTTAATACTTGAGGTATAGTTGCTCCATGGAAACTGGAGATTGGTGTTTTGCTGAGTTTTATGGAGGTGGCAATTACATGCATGCCATTTGCACCAACCTCTCTCTAACATTTGGGCTGCGTCTAGACTGGCAAGTTTTTCCGCAAAAGCACATGCTTTTGCGGAAAAACTTGCCAGATGTCTACACTGGCCGCTTGAATTTCCGCAAGAACACTGACAATCTCATTGAAGATTGTCAGTGTTCTTGCAGAAATACTATGCTGCTCCCGTTTGGGCAAAAGCCCTCTTGCGCAAAAGCATTTGCGCAAGAGGGACAGTGTAGACAACGCGGTATTGTTTTGCGCAAAAAAGCCCTGATCGCGAAAATGGCGATCGGGGCTTTCTTGTGCAAAACCGCGTCTAGATTGGGCAAAACCGCGTCCGTGCCAATCTAGATGCTCTTTTCCGCAAATGCTTTTAATGGAAAAACTTTTCCGTTAAAAGCATTTGCAGAAAATCATGCCAGTCTAGACGTAGCCTTGATGTCTATAGTGTAAATAAAGAAGCTACAATACAAAAATACCCAGACTTTACATCACTGACGTTTCTTCTGATGGAAGTCTGACCTATAAAGGCCCAGCCAGTTGATAGCTCTCAAAAACATATATGTTACCTTACATTAAAGAAGTTTAAAACAATTACCAGCTTTAAATATCTTGGACAAGATCGGGGAAGAAAACATCACCTAGGGAACTTCAGAGTTTTCCCCCTTGTTCTGCTGGGGAGAAATGACAAAAAACTTCCAGTTAAAAAAACTTGATAAGAAAGAAAGAATGAAGAGTCCACACCACATGGGAGATATTTCGTACTTGATCATTTCCAATCTTTTTCTCTCTTAGGATCAAAGACTGATCCCTTGTTATGTATTTATTAGTATTTTAAACATCTCATTTCTTCTTGATTCAATTTTCTAGACCTGATGGATTGTTAATTGAACTGCACCACTAAAGCATTCTGAATCATAATTGTCTCCAAGTGCTACTTAATAATGACAGAAATGGATAAAGGATTGTCCAAAGGGAGGGTAAGATTATGAGTAAAGAATCATTTTAGAGGAACATGCTTTTATTTTTAGATAGTGAATATTGTCAAAGTCATTTTTAAACCAACTTGAAACTTCTTGTCTCTCTTCTATCTGGTGGAGAAAATAGTATTTTCTAGATGACATTTATATATTTTTAACCAGTCAAGCCTTTGGGAATGAATTTAGGTGTAATTAACATTGCATGACTCTGTTTTCCCAGAAGAAATATGCACATGGAAATTAGGTTAAAACTTTGGGGGATTAAACTGCTCACTTGATTAAAAATTTGTATCAGTTAAGGAAAGTTTTATTTTATTTTTTTTTAAATTGCATCATAAAGCAAGTGGAATGTTGGCATGGAACATTGACTATAAATGGTGTTTAAATGGTTCATGAAAACTTGGAGAGGTCAAACATGTTCTTGTAGCCTATAAACTTACTGTGTGTGTAATAAGAGTGTTTCTGTAGCATGGTGACTAAAGCACTGCTCTGAAGACTTTTTGACATCTCAAGGTCTGTTCTAGCCCTATCTCTCTCCGACTTTCTGAGGATACGTCTACAATAGCCCCCTAGTTCGAACACCTTGTGGAATGAGGTTTAACACCTAATTTGAGTTGAGGGGTTTACTTTGAACTCCTGTTTCACTGCCACGTGTAGACGCGAGCAGTTATTCCGGCCTAGTCAGTTTCCAAAATGGCAACTTCCCGTGAACATGCTAATGAAGCACGGGATATTTAAATCCCGCGCTTCATTTGCAATTTCAGTCACCCTCATTAGCCTCCCTAGTTTGAACTAGGGGGCTAGTGTAGATGTACCCTAACATACTTGCTATGTGAAGGAATTGTATGTGGGCTTTCTAGATCCAAGAGCACAACCCTCTACTGGATGAATGGCTGTGTAAAGCTTGGTGACTAATTGGTTTCTTGGTTTGCTGGGAATGCTGAAAAACTGATGGGAAGTTGTTAGAAATTGTTTTCAGATAGAATTTAAAAAAAATGTGCAGCAAATCAAAAAATAATTCATATCATTTAGATCTGAAAAATGTGTTTTTAATTAAGAAAACCTAAAGGACATTCCAGAACAAAATTAGTTTTTGAAACAGAATATTTTATTTCTTTTTTTGCTGAAACAATTTAACAAAACACACACATACAAGCAAAATGTTACCATGCCACTGAGTCTGCATTATCTTCTTTGTCCCCATAAATTTTGTTTGAAAATCTTCACTCAGCTCTCCAGGGTCTGTGTTCTGTTGAAAGCTGCATCAGACTTAAAAACCTGCATACCGTGGACTAGGCAGCCACTAGAGGGGAATCGAGAACTATTCTGTGCATGAATGGGTTACATATTTAATGACTGTATTGAGCACCTGCTCCTGCCCTTCTAGATGGTGAGTGTCTTTCCATCGCGTCCAATGGGAGTTAGATTAAAACCATAGATAGCAGCGGGATAGTCTGAGCCTCCTCACTTGCTTTCAATATGGTTGTGCACACCCTGAAAAGGGAAATGTTTTAGAGACTCCGTGAAGTTCACTAGGGATTTAACTATTGCTGTTGAGTTTGTGGAGGTTTTCAGATATTATGGCAATAGATGGCAGCATAAAACCCCAATGTACCTAAATTTGCAGCTAGACAGCATTTGGAATATTCCATTTTAATTCCCTATTAGAACTGGTTGAAAAAAAATTGGAATGGGAGTTAGGTGCATTAAACTTTTGAAAGCTTTCTGAACATATCTGCACCTTCAGATTCCAAAATACCTCCATCCTTTTGCGTCAGCAATCTGTAAAATGGTGAGAGTAGTGATTTCTTCCCTCTCAACGTCTCTATGAAGTGCTCAGGTATTATGGTAATCAGGGACATAAAAATATGATAGATAGCTAGATAGCTAGATAGAGTGCATGATCCAAAGAAAGCCATGTTTTTTCCTCTTGGTAAATTATACCTTTCTGTACAATAGAAAAGCCTAGATAGAGACAAGGAAGAAATCAACACCTCAGAGAGCTGTTTGGAGACTGTAGGAAGGATTGATGATGATGGATGCTGAAATCCAAACAGACACCAAATAGCTCGAAGTTACCAAATAGCTAAGTAGTTACTTATATTGCAAATTTCTTGATTATTGTTTCCCTATAATTTCTTACAGAATTGTGGCAATGTTTGAAATGGAGGTGATTAAGAAGCCAAAAATTAACATTCCTCCAGAGTACAAATTCCATAAATTATTAGATTAAACCAAATGTTTTACTGCAAATACATTTTTTTCTACTTCCCATGTCTTGGTTTCTTTTTTCTCCTTCATTTTATTCATATTTCTGAAATAGCAGTTAGACAGAAAGGTAGTTGCTATTTTCCCTCTTCCTCCCTCTGGGTATATCTACACTAGCCCCCTAGTTCGATATAGGGAGACTAATGAGGGAAACCAAAATTGCAAATGAAGTGTGAGATTTTATTATCCCGCGCTTCATTTGCATGTTCCCGGCCGGTCGCCATTTTAGAAATTGTCTAGCCTGAAGTAACTTCCTACGTCTACATGCGGCAGTGAAACAGGATTTCGAATTAAAGTCCTAACTCGAGTTAGCTATTATTCCTCCTGCAATGATGTTTACCAGCTATTTCGATTTAAGGGCTTTAATTCGGAATCCCGTTTCACTGCCGTGTGTAGACGTGGGCAGTTACTTTGGGCTAGTCAATTTCTAAAATGGCAACCAGCTGGAAACATGCTAATGAAGCGCGGGATATTTAAATCCCATGTTTCATTTGCAATTTCAGTCACCCTCATTAGCCTCCCTAGTTCGAACTAGGGGGCTAAGTGTAAACAGACCTACACACTCTCTCTATCTCTCATATATTTCCATTATAAGATTTTCCCTTCTACAAGCTGGCATAAGTTTCCTTCCTGTTTTACAAGTCTGGTTACGTGCATCTTGGAAATTCTCATTTATTAAGCCCTGCAGGGGCCTTTAAATTACCTAGTTTGAATTTCCTGTGTATCCCAGTCCATAGAATTTCATCCACTTATGCCTGCATTGAGCCCAATAATTTGTATGTGGTTAAAGTATATCCTCCAGAAAGGTTTCTAGTCTTGACTTGAATGCATCAAGTTATGTGGAATCCCACCACTTCCCTTTAGTTTGTTTCAAGAGTTAATTGCCCTCACTGTTCAATATGTATGCCTTTTCATTTGAATTTGTAGGGCTTCAACTTTCAGGCATTGATTCTTATTATGCCTTTGTCTGATAAATTAAACGTCTCTATAGTACCTGGTCTGTTCTCCTCATTGTTGTACTTAAACACACTGATCAGTTCATCTTTCAGTGTTCTTTCTGAAAAACAGAAGCAATTAAACTCAGTGGCTACGTCTAGACTGGCATGATTTTCCGCAAATGCTTTTAACGGAAAAGCATTTGCAGAAAAGAGTGTCTAGATTGGCACGGATGCTTTTGCGCAAAAGCACTTTTTGCGGAAAAGCATCCGTGCCAATCTAGACACTGTTTTGCACAAGGAAGCCCTGATCGCCATTTTCGCCATCGGGGCTTTTTTGCACAAAACAGTTTTTAGCTGTTTACACTGGCCCATTTGCGCAAGAGGGCTTTTTCCCAAGCGGGAGGCAGCATAGTATTTGCGCAAGAACACTGACAATCTTACATTAGATTGTCAGTGCTCTTGCGCAAATCCAAGCGGCCAGTGTAGACAGCTGGCAAGTTTTTCCGCAAAAGCACTTGCTCTTGTGGAAAAACTTGCCAGTCTAGACGCAGCCTGTTAGTGTGAAAATAATATTGTATTATGGAACTCAGCATAAGGAGAGACTTTGTCAACTGGATTAGCCCGTAGTGGGGCAGAGTGGCAGCCCACTGAGCCAGAGGCAGAGGAATCCCTCCATTTTGGGTACAACCTAGCTCCGCCCACTCACCTGACAGGAAGCCAAGGGGCGTGGCTAGGACTATAAGAACTCTGCCAGAGAGCTCAGTCAGGGCCCAGTCTCTGAGGGAGACAGAGGTCTTCCCAGAGCTCCTGGACGATGAGGCTGAGATCTGATCTGGGCCTCCCACAGCCTCCTTCCATAACGCCAACGAAGTCTTCCCTGCCTGGGCTGCCGAGGCCTGGCCAGGCCGGCCAGCAGAGCTACCCTCTGATCCAGAGGAACCAGCGGCCCTGCTGGTGCCTGGGGATTCTGAGGAATTGCCTGAGCTGGAGGTTGCTGCTCGAGCCCCAATGCCTGCAGACACCCAGGGACCCTGAGGGCTTTCCCGAGTCAGTGGAGCTGCTCGAACCCTGATGCCTGTCTGAACCCTGGGACTTTACGAACCAGCTGGATGCTGCAGACCTCCAACCCACCAAGGCCTGGATTGGGCCGCCCTGACCCAGCTAGGACGACACGGCCCTCGACTCCATGACTGACCTGTGGGAGACACAGGTACCTGCAGAGGGGGAGACGGGAAGTGGCCCAGGGAGTAGCACGGGCTGATAGCAGCCCTAAGCCAGCACGCTGCCGGTTGGAGCCCCTGCTGAGCCAATAGCAGCTGCTTTGCTGCATCCTGGGCCGGGGCGCAGTGGAGTGGGTGGGCCTGTGTCCCCCCTGCCACCCGCCCATTGGGTGGCAGTCTCCCCCTCACCACTGCTGCAGGTGACCAGCCTGCCTCCCTCCTGAACAAGGTGACCCCCCAAACCTGTGTGTGTTACCATGCCCTGAATCAGGGCCTGACTTGCCCCTTTGCTGAACTACTGTGTTTGTTTGCAGCCCTCCTGTACTCCGGCCTGGGCTACCCTGAGAACGGCTGCTGTGCTTGTTGCTGCCCAGTCGGGAACCAATCCTGGGCTTCTAAACCGCTAAGAGTTACTGCCCTGCCTGAAGCAAGGACTGTTGCTTATTGCCCCCCCCTGAGGCTACGTCTACACTGGCGGGTTCTTGCGCAAGAATCCACAGAGCGTCCACACTGCCCACCCTCTCTTGGGGAATAAGATTTACAGTACGGCGTGGTAAGAGAGGGCTTCTTGCACAAGAGTTACGCTCTTTTTTAACAGGTGCAGGCGCTCTTGTGCAAGAGGGCAGTGTGGACGCTCGGCAGGGGTTTCTTGCGCAAGAAAGCCCTATGGCTAAAATGGCCATCAGAGCTTTCTTGCGCAAGAGAGCGTCCACACTGCCGTGGGAGCTCTTGTGCAAAAACACAGCTCGCACATGGCAGTGTGGACGTTTTCTTGCACAAGACTTCTTGCACAAGAACCCTTGTGCAAGATGTTCTTGTGCAAGAAGCCACCAGTGTAGTGTTTGAAAAGACACTGCGGACGCGTCTAGACTGGCAAGTTTTTCCTCAAAAGCAGGTGCTTTTGCGGAAAAACTTGCCAGCTGTCTACACTGGCCGCTGGAATTTCTGCAAGAACACTGACGATCTCATGTAATACTGTGCTGCTCCCATTCGGGCAAAAGCCCTCTTGCGCAAATCATTTGTGCAAGAGGGCCAGTGTAAACAGCACAGTACAGTTTTGCTCAATAAAGCCCCGATGGCTAAAATGGCAATCGGGGCTTTTTTGCGTAAAAACGCGTCTGGATTGGCCACGGACGCTTTTCCACAAAAAGTGCTTTTGCGGAAAAGCGTCCTGCCAATCTAGATGCTCTTTTCCGAAAATGCTTTTAACAGAAAACTTTTCCATTAAAAGCATTTCCGGAAAATCATGACAGTGTAGACGTAGCCAGCCTGAATTAGGGCCTGGGCCTGAGTATTGCCCCGCCTGAGACAAGGCCTGGGCTTCCAAACTGTTAAACTCTGTGGGTTTATTTGCTGGCCCACCTGAACTAGGCTTGGGCCATCTGAACATAGAACTGTTACAAGTGTGAGTGTTTGCTGCCCAGCCTGGGACCAGGCCTGGGCCTCTTAAAGCAGTGTGACTATTATTGATGCCCTGCCCTGTACCAGGGCTAGGGCCTTACTAACTCAGGCATTTGTTGCCCGAAATAAAGTAAGGCCGGGCGCCTGGACCATTGCCTCCAACCCGACCTGCGTAGGGCCGAGTACATGAATTATTGCCTCTCACGCCAACCTGAAGCAAGGCCAGCTATAGAATTACAGACTTGGACTATTTTAAGTAGCAGCTGTGTAGTGGGGCGGAGTGGCCACCCACTGAGCTGGAGGCGTAGGAACCCCTCCAGAAGCCTAACCGGCTTACAAGCCCATGTTATGTATGAACCCCCATTAATCACCTCAGAGAGATGTGGCTATGTCGACATATTGGGTCTTAGGAAAACCCATGTTTGATTCCAGGCTTTACCACAGACTTCCTGTGTAACTTTCAACAAGTCCTTTAAAGTCTGATCCAGGCGCCATTTAAGTCAAGGAGCGTTTGACTGGAACATACTTTTCATCTTTCTGTACTGTAGTTTCACCATCTGTGAAATGGACACAAAAATACTTCCCTACTTTGCAGCATGAATGAATGAATGAATATCTGTAGGTAGTTACAGACTGCAATGCCAGGGGGCACTATAAGGATCTCGAAAGGCAAGTGTCTGAAATCAAAGATGGAGACTGAAGATTGGACTCGACAGCTGATTTAGACCCAGGGAGGTGGAGTTAATTTTGGCCTCTTTTGGAACTGAAGGGCAGAGAGGACTGGGAAGCTGCAGATGGAAGTGGCAAACAAAGGGCAATTCTAGCTTTAACTACAGATCTTAAGATAGAATGGAAGATGCTAAACACCCTCCAGAATAAGAACTGCAGGCTGGACTCTACAAAAGGCGAGGATATAAAGTTGTGGAGCCTGGTAGGTGGGCTTTGTTTATATCTATATTAAGTCACAGCTCAAACGAGGAACAGGGGTCAGTGATGTAGAACACAGCAGATGGGAATATGTGGCTTGTTCTAAATACATCTCTTAATCAGAGCTCCAAACAGAGAGGAGAGTATGATTCTAAATGTTGTAGAGGAAAGAGGCTGTCAAACTGACTTGTTTTTAACACACCTATTAGTCATGCTTCAAGAATAGGATTGGGCCAGGAGTCTAGAAAACCTGGCTTAGAGGAGATCAAATGCAACTTCAAAAAATAAAAAGCTTTGCTAACCGGGCATGCAGAGGTATGACTCAGGCAAGGGAAACAGGTACCAGGGGAGCTGAATTGGAAGAAGGCTAAGGGAATTTACCATTTGCAGATATTGCTTATTGAGGTCCAAATGCAGGCTTGAATGAGGGTGTGTCTAGACTACAAAGTTTTGTCGACAAAAGTGGACTTTTGTCGACAAAACT